TTTTCTTCGAAAGGGTAAAATGTAAGTTGATGGGGGACTAGTAGCAAATCGTAATTCAAGAGAATGCCTACCTTTTTCCATCGTTTCTTCTTATCCAGAGAAAATTCAACGGTAGATTCGCACAGATCCGTCCGGGATAGGTCTTGGGGCTAAAATACGGAGGAATCGAGCCGTTTGTATTCAAATAGTAGTAAGTCGCTCTCCGAGCCGAGCAAAACAGCGTAGTGGGAAAGGGCAGTGCTTCGGAAGCAATGATGTGGATTAGAGTTTTAGGCGAGTCGAAAACCTTTACTCGCAGCTTTCCGCAAATACAATTCGGGTCTAGTGGAAGAGCTGTCAGAATTTCCAGAAAACAGATTTTGACCGAAGGCGGTGGGTTTTTGGAATAATAACGTTCTTGAATGTAGATAAGAATGGAATAATAAATAATAATACATACACTGTCGGGGCGTTTTAAGATCCGCATGATTTGAGCAATTGATGGCCCATTCTTGCGTGGATCTGGTCTTCGTAATCTTGCTTGTTCAACGATATCATCGACACTGCAAAAAAAAAAGATAATGAAGTAGAGCAATTCTCTCAAGAAAAAGGTAGAAGTTCTGTTTCATGCAAAGATTAGCCACGAACGTGACAGCTACCCTGAATCACCCAAGCTACTGAACCGATTACTCGCCAGTGCTTGAAAGGAAGGGCTTCAAGAAAGCAACGTCCTGAGGCTTACTCAGCTGCCCACCAATTGTAATTCTATAGAAGAAGACAGTTCAAAATTACAGGGCAGATTCCGACAAATCAGCAACAGACCCGATCACAGAAGGTTTTTGACCCTTACCGAATCAACTGTCAAGAATCCCGTCATGAATAGGAAGGATGAGTATTTCTTAAAACGATCCCAATTCCCAAGAAAAGATTAACCTGATGGGTATACTCCAATTTAGCAATATTTATTCATCCTGTAATCCCCTTAGCTTCATTTTCATAAAATGGCAAGATATAGAGCTTTTACTGATTTCACTAATCAATCCCTTCACCAAAAAGGATTGAGCTCTGAATCAAAGCATTCTGATTAATTATTTCATTCCGATTAGTTTTTTTTTCTCTACAACATCTCTACGGATGTCTGAGTTGAATAATCGAGAAAATTTGTGAACTCACTCGTTGTAGTCACACTCTACATAGTCGCATTCCTTGTAGTCGCTCTCCTCGATAGAAAGACTCCTCGAATTCTCGCAGTCGCAATCTTCGAAGGAAGAACTCCTCGAATGCTCGTAGTAGTCATCCTCAATGGAAGGGTTCCTTGAAGATGCGGAAGATGGAATTTCCTGGCTTGACCTCATATTGTTAGTGTGCTCAGGCTTTTTCCGCTTTTATACTGGCGACTACAGACTGTTGCATAGTATCTGTTTCCAAGATAAGGTTTACGATACTTTCGTGCGTCATCACAAAGGTGGCATTCATCCGTAAACCTTATCTGGCGCCATAATCGAACGATTAGAGTAGGAAACAATCAAGCTGTTGCCTACCTTCCTTTCAAGTCATGGCCGACCGCTGTAGTGCTGATGAATGGTTCCTGAACTTTGCGAAGAAACAGTTTGTTGCACTTGGTATTCCTGCATCTGTGGTAGAAAGTACCTCCTTATTCGCAAAAAAAAATTGTTGAAAATTCTCTTCATCTTCTTTTGAACTCACTGTCCTAGAAGGCGTACTGTCGGAACCAAAAGGAACTGGCAATGAGAATCAAAAACCAGGACAAACGTATTCCCCAGGGAGCCCTGAATCTCGCAACTTGAAAATAGCTAAAAGAGCTAGGTTTCTTGAGCAACTGAACTTTTCTGAAAAACTAATAGTAATCTACCCACTCACATCACCATTGTGACTTTATCCATTTGAAATACTCGAACTATCGCTTTCCCTGAAGGTCGATCAGCTCATCGCGTTCGGAGTTTTCAGCCGTATATTTGAGTTGCTTAGTAAGTCCGTTTTAGCTCCCTTTGTTCTGCCACTTGGTAGCCAGTGAATGATCACCGTACTCTGCAATTCAGTATATCAATGGGAATTTATGCCCAAAAGCTCAAAAGAAGCGATTTCCTAGGTCATTACAGTACTACTACACTGTGATTGAATATCTCGATGCGTAACACTTTTCGGATTGCTCACTTCTGGTCGCAGTGGGTTATAGTTGTAGTTGTCATACATAAATTTTTTTCTGCTGCGATGGACACCAACACTTAATAAGGCAGTAGGCTTACCCTCAGAATGAACATCTGAAGAAGCACTTTATTCTAGTCGTTTTAGTCACTCAGTAAAGCTTTTGTTCTGTATATGGTGACTATTACAACGAATAAAATTCCTTTGAAATTTAGCACCCGTCATATTGGTAAGTAGCACACTGACACGTACGCGGAAGCAGAGGGACAAATCTCCTAGTCTCAGATCCCAGAGGTCATTCATACCAACAAATCCTTCCATACTTTTGTTAATAGAGAATAGACTTGTTAGGTAGGATAAAATGTTGACTTTACATCAGCTGCCTTCGAAAAACAATGTGTAAGTCACATAAACATTCGGAACGCCACTACAATTCTGAATGGAAATCGAATGCGGAGCGCATCCAGAAACGGGATTTTGACGCCAAATCCCGGAAGGAGACTTTGATCACGAACAACATAAGTCGTTTAGAAAGGTTGCAATTTGAAGTAATGGCAAATTTTTTCTACGTCTTCTGTTCCACGTCTTCCCGCTATGTGTTTATGAAAATGCATATGCAATTGCCAAATCTGAAAGGTAATTCAGAGCCGCTGATATTTGGATGCAGTATGATCCGTTGGCAATTAGCATAGAGGAGAAGATCTGCGATAGCTTCACTTGAATGAGATAATGAAACTCACCACATGCTTCGAAAAAGCATCTATATTAGTATGAACCATTTAAAGTTATTGAAAAAGATTGCTTGCAGTAAAAAGACAGTAAACAAAGCAAAGCAAACAAAAATAAAAACAAAACAACAAAGCAATCCAACATCAGGCGATTCTCGATTTCTATTGAATGGTCGGATTTTCCATTCCCGCAAAAAATGTTCGTGGTGTATTCTAGGTTATATAGAGAATAGACATTCGCTTCTGATGGATGCAAAAAATACAGAAGTGCAAAATTTTGGAATGTGCACGAAATTCCGGTGTTCCCAGCTTCTTTCAGTCAGCTGACTCAGATTTTTTGATTTTCGTAATGGCTATTTATGAAAGGAGTCGTTGGGTGATTTTGGCTGCACTCCCCCACAGCCCCCCCCCCCCTTCAACACATAACTCCAAATGGAACCTCCTGATTTAGGATGAATCCTCATTTTAGCATATCCTGAGGGTGATCGTTCTTATTTTTATGTAAATAACTGAAGTCATTGAAGAGTGTGCAGAGGTCGACGATGGCTTGACTGGGACTCGTGCTAGGGTTTTCATGAATCTTTATTATCTGGAATAAGAGAGCTCCATTTCTCAAAGTTCGACAAAAGGAGTAAAATGCTGCCTTCGCTATGTAAATCTACATAGTAGAATTTAGTTGATGGCAAAATCACCAAAGTATTGCAGCCATCGTGGTGTTCATACATCAAGGGCTCTTTTACTGGATTAGGACTTCCAAGTAATGATTTGTAATGAATGGATTTCTTACAAGTCTGGAGATGAGCGATGTTACGCCCCGCCCATAGTTGAGATCGCCCCGCCTAATGTCACTACTGAATGAGGAAAACCACCATAGAGCTGAAAGCTACTCCTGTATTTTCTGGGACAACATGTCTTATACTGCAACTTCTACTTCTGGGTGGGCTAATTAAAAATTCTTAACTCTTCGGGCTACTCTTACACTGACGCAAATAGCTTCGATGGCGATAATTAACTTTGGTACAAACATAAGGTTGACGCTTTGGAAATACCGATGTTCCTTAGGTCTCTATCGAAAATCAAAGATGGAAAATTGTTCAGAATTGTGCTCGGCTCTTCGACCCTGAACTTCGATATGGGGTTGGATTTTTTTTTTTGAATTTTTCCCTCATCATTTCGACTGACCCATGAAATTTCAATTAGGGGTTTTCAGATGGTCAAAATGATCAATCGGCGACAATAGACGACACGACAGAAATATTTTGTAATTCGAGCGATACCCTCTTCTTAACGTTTCTCCTTATCCAAAGAGTACATATTCAGATGCGAGATGCGTCTAGGATAGGTCTGAAGGCTAATGTAACCCAAAATTAAAACTCAATCCATTTTTCGTATACATAGTACACCCAATACTCTATCACGACGATTCTAGCTCGTACATAGTCGCTGCAATATAGACAAAATTCTGCGATCAAACTGTTAAAGTTGCGTTTCTCTTACTCAACACCCATTGCCTTATCCATTGACTCAGAAACACCCCAAATCAATCCTCGAATTCGATCAAGACATTTTACTGGATAACTTAACTGCCTGGGAAGAACTGGTGTGGGTTGGAATCCCATACAAGACAGAATGTTTCACAAGAGTATCTCAACGCTCCGGAATTGTGTGATACAGTGCCAATTCAATTTCGCAACACAGTGTTTGTAATATGTACACGAAGTGACACTTTGACGTGACAATTCTACGTTCTATTGATCCCTACATCACAGCAAATTTCTCTTCGTCTGCCTTTGTGGACGCCCAGCATTTGGCGCCGTACAACATCGCGGGTATCACAGTCGAGTGAGAAAGGGACGCTTTCAGTTCCATCAGGAGGTATTCGTCTAGCAATAACGTTGAGATTTTGCTTACTTCTTTGATGGTTTCACTATTTATTCTGATTGTTGCTGTAGGACTGAACTGGTTCTGCATCCACTCCATTTTTGACAAATTCATTTCAAGTCTGATTTCACCAGATTTCATTTGTAGTTGCATCAGTTCCTCCTGGGGCTTCAAGGTATCATGTGCAAAAATTACGCAATCGTCAGCAAAGAGCAGATAGGTCAGGTCTTCTCCGTCAATCTCTACACCTCCGGTCCGGTCAAGATCATTGAACAAAGTTAATGCAAAAAATTTTTGAGAAATCGGATCGCCTTGTCGAATGCCATTGCATGTTCTTATTTGACAAGGATTCTTCAAGAGCCTAATTTCTGTGATGCAGACCTTGTTCAGCTTCGAGAAAACCGGCATAGCACGAATTAATACTGTATCTACACATCGCATTTAGCATCGCGTTTGTTTCGACCGAGTCGAATGCTTTGTTGTAGTCGACAAATGCGATGCAAAAGGAAATCCGATACTCTCCACTTTTTACGGTAAGCTGATGCACAACGTGCAAATGGTCAAGTGTGAAATACCCACTTCGAAACTCCGCTTGCTATCGTCTCGGCTCATGGCCATGCCCTCCAACTATGCGATTAAGGATTGCCCTGGTGACGGTCCCATAGACTTGAGACAGCAACGTAATGTATCTATAATTGTCCAAACTCTCGGAATCGCCTTTTTCATTAGCAGTATCGTTCTCGATATCTTCCTTGCCGCCGGAATTCTATTCTCACTGCAGTATCTGCTGAAGCGCTCTGCCAGCGCCTAAAAGAGGGAAAAAGAAAATGAAGAGGGGATGAAGAAGACTTTTTATTCCCTCTTCATTTGAGTTACAGCCAACTTGGCGATCCTTGACTTTCGCAACGACCACGTCTCCGCTCCGTAAAGTTCTAATGGCGTACCGCAGGAGCCGAAAGCCCTTCCCTTGAGCTCTAGAGGCACACTACGATTACAAAATACATACTCGAGCTTTCTGAAAGCATTCCAGCCGAACTGATCAGCAGGTCGGTTAAAGGGAAAGGACAAGTGACAGCCAAGGTAATGGGTGCTCAACGAAGTGGAATATGTAAAGGGCGGGTTCAGCGAAGTCAAATGTCTTTCCATCAGTACAGTTTGCGTTCCTTAATGTCTCACTGATCGTCACTAGCACTAGTGCAGACTTTCTAGGCTTCAGAATGAGGGCGACTTTGGTATGCATTCAGCTGAAGTTGAAACGTCATCTCGAACATGACGATGAAGATGATGGCGATGAAACCAGTAGCGTAACACCATCCCTAAACACAAGACTGGAAAGCACTTTGTTTCCGATCCTTACTCCCCACGTTCTCCAATCTATAAATTCGAGCACCATTTCTAGGGAGGCAATGAAGAATTTTGGAATTGATATACCATCCTGTCAGACTCCTCTTTAGATGGTAACTGGACCTAGATGAGAGATGGCGATAACGAACGCGGAAAAAGATTTATAGAACCTCTGTAGCATTTCTATCAGCCATGGTTGTACACCTCTCTTTGCAAGGGCTTTCCGTATGTGTTTG